AATGTGCAGCAGCTTTGTGGTTAGTTAATTTCTCAGATATTCCAGACTGGTGTCTTAAAATCTGAGAACAAAATTCTTGGTCTCTTGTCCCTTTCATAATTCTTCTACTGGTACTTTTATTATCTGCTGACAATAATAGAAACGCTGTTTTGAGCTCCTAGGTGAGCTGACTTCAGGAATCCCAAAGACGTAACATCTATTTAGTAGTTCCCCTCCCTAAAGAGACCATACCTTAGCTCCATCTGTTTGTTTTTCTTTTATTTTTCATGAATAATAGTCCTTACATTAAGTTTTCACATCTTGATTAAAATGTGACTGTTGTTTACCTGAAACCGAGGTAACTTCTTTTTTTTTCCTTTTTTCATATAAATGTGAAAGCTGTAATCGATTAGTTTTAATGAAACATTTTTTATAGAATAATATGTTGTAGCAATAAAATTCTTTATAATTTTTCTCCCTCTTTTTGTATTTAACTCAAAAAAAACAAAACAAAACTCGCTGCCATCGATTTGATTCTGACTCATAGCAACCCCCATTGGTTTTTTGAGGCTGTAAATCTTTACAAAAGAAATGCTTGAAATGCTGATCTTCTGATTAAAAGCCAAATGCCTTAACTAAGAAAAATAAAAGAACTGGTTACTGCTTTAGTTTTCACATGAAGAGAAACACTTGTGATCCCATTGATACTTAAAAAGTTCATTTCAATGAAATTATTTTATTAAGAAAGTATACTATGTCCTTTTTCTTCCATAAAGATGCTCAAGACTTTCTTCTTTTTCTGTCACAACTTCAGTCATATCAAAGAAGGAGCATTGCATAGATGGTCAAATTCATCAATAATTTGCTTATTTATAGACAGATGCTATGAATCGGAATTAACCCAATGACAGTGGGTTGGTTTTTTGGTTTTATTACAGAGACCTTAATGGGATTCTGTGTCTAATATTTCTTCAACTTTATTCTCCAGGAGAGATGTTATTTTATGTTCCTATGTTTCTGTCAACATCTGTTAAACATAGCATCAGATGATAAACAGCCTCCCTTTTCATTTAGAATATTTGACATTCACATGTTTCCTAATTGACAAGGATAATGTATGTAGTTAGGTTTTCATTTGCTCTATTGATATTGCACATGCCACCCAAGTAATTTCTTTGATCCCAGGATGACCTATAAAGCCTGAATCAGTTAGAAATTTTTCAGAAAATGACAGTTGGTCCTAGGATGCTAAAAGCTCATATAGAAAAGGTCAAATGAATATCTCAGGCCAGAGTTTTAAATGGTTTGTTTTTCAGAAGTAGATTGCCAGATCTTCTGGGGCACCTTGGAGTAGATGCAACCACCCACCTTTCAGTTAGCAATAAGCACATTAATCATTTGTACC